TCGTCTCCCCTCGTCTCGTGCAACCACCCGGTGTGCTCGTTTTCGCCGGTATCGCCATGGTTCGCTCCGCCGCTCGCCGCTGTTGTCCGCCGTCCGTTCCGGCCGGCGTCGTCGTCTACCTCTCGCCAGCCCACGTGGCAGCCACGTAGGCGCCACGTCGGCGCCAGCTCAGCCGAGGTTGGGACGGGCCGACCCCGGTCAGCCCCTCCCGTGCGCGCGTTCCACCGCGAGCCGTGAGGCTGCGCGTGGGCCCGCCGCATCCGTTCCTCCGCAGACCATGCGCGTGCACCGCGTCCCTCCCCCGCCCGCGCGCGTGCGCCGCGTACTCCCTCCGCACGGTGAGCCGAGCCGCTGACAAGCGGGTCCCACCCGGGACCGCGCGCGGTGAGCCCGGTCCACCGGCTCTCTCTCCTCCCTCCCACGCGCGCGACCGTCTTGGGCTGGCCGGCCCATTTAGCTCGGCCGGACCGCCCCAATTCTCTTGGGCCGCGCCCTAGCCGCCCGAGAAAAGTCTATTTTCCCTCCCTCTTTTCTTTTCTTTTCCAAAAAGGATTTAATTAAATCCTTTTCCTTTAGACCAAAAATCCAATAATCTTAGAAATTCAATACCTTCCCAACCATAAATCCGTTTGACTCCGTTCAACTTCCAAAATTTCTCAAATCTCGAGATCTATCTAATGGCACGCTTTGAGGTCATTATTAGGGCTTCATTTTCGCCGTTTGTTGAGTTGTCCCGTTTCGCGTGTAGTTCCGGAGCCCGAAGACCCGCAGTGCGAGGATTTCGAGGATCAAGCTCCAGACCTTTAGCAAGGCAAGCCACCTTTGAACATCTTGAGCCTATACTTGAAATTTAATTATGTTGCTTGCAAAATATTATGCATTAATAGGATCGCACTTAATATGTTGTCCCGTCTGCAAGGCAGATTGGCGGACCTACCTAACTTGTTGCATTTGATCCTTCCATTGTTAATTGCTATACCATGTCCCCTTGTAACCATCCAGTTGCGCCTCGATATTCGTGCACTCTGTGCGAGTATCGACGGTCGCCTTCAAACTTAAAATCTGAGTAACAACTTGGGTAAAACTGGAGTTTTACAAAAGACTTGGAAAACCCGACACCTGGGTCGGCGCTTGCGAACTAAATGAATTTCCAAAACCGCGGACCGGGGAACGTACCGGGTGTATGGTTTTTCCCGCTCTCGCACTTAAGGACCGATTCCTTGGAATTTCATCCAAACATAAGACAAGTACGACCACATGGGTGGAATGGGACACCCCTGGCTGAGTAACTAGCTTATCAGGGGAGCCTTGATGTCGAGAGACATGTGGATTCACCGGGGTGGTGTCGGGGAGGACCCCTGGGCTTCCTGGCACAGTATGGTCTGGGACCTAACCTGTTGTTGGTCTGGGACCCCTCTCGTCGGCATATGGTAAACCTGTGTCGGCTTTCGAAATGCCTTGTCATGAAAGCTTGGAGGTCTCCCGACGTGGCTGATCCCCACGGGCTGGGTGATCCGGGTTAGTAATGTCGTGTGGGTAAAGTGTACCCCCTCTGCAGAGGTTAACAAACTGTTCGAACAGTCGTGCCCACGGTCATGGGCGGATGTGAGGTGATTCCTAGCGTAGTTTTATTTGACTACTGCTTGTGAAATTGCTGTTATGGAAAGGGGTTCGCTGTTTGAAAAATCTGCGGCTGATGGGATCAGCTAGGCCCGGGTGGCCGTTTGAAAGTTGTTGGCCCGGGTGTCCGTTTGAAAAGCTGTTGGCCGGGTGCCAACCTTGTTTTAAATTTTAAAGACTGATACATTGCACATACTCCGACCGGACGAGACGCACCGTCTCAGCCGTGTCGTTTGAGAAGCACTCACTTAGTTGTTTTTAGAAAAGTGTTCAACTAAAATCAATTGCAAAAACAACAGCCTTTCCTTGAAGCCTGCATTAAACATCTATTTTCCCTTGGCTTGCTGAGTACTCCCGTACTCACCCTTGCTCTATATAAATAAATCCCCCCCAGTTGCTGAAGAAGATGAAGCGGATCCTGCTGATGAGGAGTTCTTTCAGGAGCAAGCCGGCTACGATGAGTTTTAGGGTTTCGGCCTAGTTCCCAAGTCGCGCCTGTGTTGTTTGGTCCAAGTCCTGCTTCCGTTTCCCTTTTGTAATGCAGTTGTGAGCTCGGGATCTGTCCGTAGCCCAACATGACTGTATCCGTACTCTATAATAAAGAGACCGTTGTTGCTGTGATATTCTGTCTCCCTGTGATACCAGCACTGTTTCCTGGGACTGGTATCGATCAACAGGTTAATTTGGAGCGTCACGGGCTAGTTCCGGTCGGTACTAGTTCGGGGCGTGACACCAGTTAACAAAGATGCGTGATGAGTTTGAATTGAACTGTTCAAACACACATCTGAGCTACTATGTATAGTATGGAGGGTGCATTAGTGGGGACGCGGTGAGAATGTTTTCAAATTAGAACGCCTTTGCATATACAATACGTTATGTTTCGAAATGGACAAAATAGAAGATAGTACGAATTAAATTACCATGCTATCGTAGTAAATCTGCTCACTTCAACCCTCCTTTTCTGCATGCGATTAGTTTAGTTGACATTTCTGGTCACTGGTCAGCCGGGAAAAGTCCGATCCGGGTGAGAGGTGAGAGATACCGTTCAGTCCTGGACGTACTACCGATCTAAGCTTGTACTAAAGTTGAAACCATATCAGTCACTACTGGCGTACCTGCACGTATCTTACGCCGGACAGGCGCGGCGTCACGCTTCGGTGGTTGGTGATGATGACTTGGTGACGTACTCGCCGGCTGCCAGAGCGGCGGCGCGCGGCGGCAACGTTTCTACTGTAGATTATTATATAGATGACTGACTTCACGCACGTCGGATGATTAAGTTCCATATATATGCATGGCAGAAAATTCTAGATGAGGACTGAAGAACAGCTGGTCTATATACGTATAGCTATATATGCTGTCTTTGTGGAGTACTGAATTAACCAACCATTAATTAATTCAACTGGAAGATACAGAAGCCCAATATACCGAAGCCTCACGACTACTTAACAAAAATAAAATTAAAGAATCAGAGCCTTTGATTTCACGTGACAAATGTAGTACTCCTCCAATAAAATAAGATATTTCTGGTTTTTATCATAAGTCAAATTTCTTAAATTGAATAAAGTTTATAAAATAGTAATATGTACAATATATATCAAATTAGGAAGGGACTAGGTGTCGGGCGCCTGATCCGGGTGTAAAAAAATCAGGCGCCCACGTCAGCTGACGTCAGCATGCATGCATGCAAAACCACTTTAAACTGTTTTTTCTTTTAAATTATTTATCCAAATCATGATTCGATTGTACCATTAAATTTGTTGCAATTAAATCGTTAAAATTAGACCACACATGGATATATTCTGATGAAAAAAAATTAGCTTATTATTGAACTATTTTTAAATGTTGCACGCTGTTGTACCAAGTGTATTGGAATTTTTTCACTAAGTAGATCGAAAATGTTTCAATCGTTTAAGATCGGGTGTCACCTTATATAAAAACAATGTTTCAGCAAATAGCGAAATAATGTTTCAATTCACTGCAACATTTAATCCATACATAGTGAAACATCACGAATACACTAGGTGAAACATTTTTGGTAGAAAAAAAATAAAACGAATTTCCTTAATAGAGGGTTTCCATAATATGTGGGTGATTTTGTTGCAAAAGAATGTTTCAATTCACTGCAACATTGAATCTATACATAGTGAAACATTGTGAGTACATTATGTCAGTGTTACGGATAAGGTATACCCTCTATCCTTGGATATACGTTGTATACTGATATGGTATACCCGCGCGTATACGGATAGTTCCTGTACACGTTAAGGAAATCTATCACGTGATAGAAACAGAATCCACATATGGGAGGAGTCCTACTCGGACGAGACTGGGTCGTTACCATATCGTGAGGGGTCCGATATCTCCGAGTCCTACTTGGAGATCAACTGACCCGCGGTATAAAAGGGACCCCCTGGGCAGGACATAAGGCATCGAATCTCACCGCCAATACATCCATCACAGCTACGAAGTCGGAGCCTACAGGAGCCAAGTCGCTGGGAGATCTAGTTGAACCAACTCGACTACGGTCTCGTCGGTACCATCGAGTTCTGCTATTCCCTTTGTAATCTGTGGTTTCCATCATATAATCCCATATCAACTGGATTAGGGCTATTACCTACCAAGAGGCCTGAACCAGTATAATCCTTGTCTTTTGTTTGCTTGATATCGTACTACGTAGATCCTCGTACTAACGGACCACAATACCCTCTATATCCGGTCTACAGGTATCCCCCGTCGACATATTAGGTGAAACATTTTTGGTGGAATAAAAATTGAAACGAATTCCCTTAATATACGGGTGATTTGTTACAATGGCGCGCATAGTGGGGACAAGTGATGGGAGCGGCGTGCGACATGTGGCGGGCCTGGCATGCACGTGCCCGGGGGGAGGGTCGATTTTGAGCATTATCGAATTAGTTTCGTTATATTCAGTATAGATCATATTTTTATACCATATTTATTCTGTTTTAAAAATGTTGTTTTATTTTTAAAAAAACTTGGACAAACATAAATAAATCTGAGTTAGGGAAAATTCAAAACAACTTACAATATACTACCTCTGTTTTTTTATTTATGATGCCGTTGACTTGTTATAATGTTTACCATTCGTCTTATTTAAAAATTAATATAAATATGTAAAAGCATAAGTTAAAATTACATATAGCTTCTTTTGATGATAAAATAAGTCACAATAAAATAAAAAAGTATTTATATTTTTTTAATTAAGACAAATGATTTAACATCGCTGTCAAAAATCAACATCGTCATATATTTAAAAACACAGAGGGAGTAATAATATTGGAACAACAGGTAAAGATTACTTGTTTTATTCTAAGAGATATGAAGTGCTATGTACGTGGGGGAAGGACGACGACAAAGAAGAAAAAAAAATGCATGATTGAATAATTAAAGAAAGTGGATCTTCACAAATTAGACATGACTAGGGCAGATTGATCCGATACATATTAGAGGTGTTTAAAGACACTGTCAGCCCTGTAAAATACACAATCGTAATTCAACAGCAAACAATAACAACAAAATTACAAATATGGAATCGAACAAATAAACAGAATACATACACTTATTAGTAGTGTTTAGCCATGCAAGAATTCAGGTACGAGTATTTCTTATTGCATATGCGTAGGACGGAGCTGGTTGAGTGGATGATCGACGACCCACGCCTGAAGTGATGGCCGGCTTAAGCAGTACGATTGACGGCGGAGGTTGAAGCTTTGGTGACCCCGGTGATGACCACCTTTTTGCCGGCCTCGGCGGTGAAGGTGTCGTACCGGAGGAAGAGCTCGACGAGCAACAGCCTTCCGACGAGCACCACCAGGTTCTTGCCGGGGCACTGCTTGTTGTCAACGCTAGGGTTCTCCGTCTCTCGCCCATTCGACCAGTACACGTATTGCAGCAGCTTCCTCCCCTCCTCGCCGACGAACCGGTCGCCGACGAACTCCCTCGCCGTGGCGCCGAACACCCGCGGGTCCCTGGTGGCGCACGGCTGGTAGCCGAACAGCATCTCCCCCTTCTTGATCGCGAACGACGCGTCGTGGCTCTCGATCTCCAGGTCGGCCTTGGCGCGCCCGTACTGGAACCTGACCGGCGGGTCCAGCCGCAGCGCCTCCCACACCACCGACCTGGTCAGCTCCATCTTCTCCAGAGCGGCCAGCGTCACGTTGCCGCCGGCGTCGGCCACCGCGCTCCGTATCTCCGCGGCGAGCCTCTCGTGGAGCTTCTCGCCGGCCTGCGCGACGCGCGACAGGATCTGCGGGAGCAGCAGCTTGAAGCCGCCGTAGCTGTTGAACACCGTCGCGAACAGCAGGTTGTGGCAGGCCTCCTCCCGCGACAGGCCAAGGCCCTCGGCGGCGTCGAGCGCCTGCGACGCCGCGGCGGCGAAGTACGCGTACAGCGCCTTGTAGTCGGAGCTGATGAGGAAGGGTGGCAGCGGCAGCGTGTGGAGGAGCGGATCCTCGATGATCATGGGCAGGCCGAGCGTGGTGAGCGGGGCGAGCTGCCATAGGAGCCACAGGGCGGCCTTGGTCGGCCCGCCGGTGCCGAGGGAGCTCGACGCGGAGGGACGCACGCCGAAGTACGCCTCGCCGATGAACTCGAAGGAGGTGGCATCGTTGAGGGCGGTGAAGTCGGACTTGCCGCCGCCGCTCGCGAGCTGCGACTCGACGGTGTCGAGGAGCGCGCCGAAGTTGGAGCGGAAGACCGGGACGAAGGCGTCCTTGCGAGAGACCAGGAGGGAGAGGAGCAGCTGCTTGATCTTGGCGTGGTTGGGCTCGGACGGGTCGAGGTAGGCGCAGACGCGGTAGCCGCCGGTGAGGGAGGTGGACGGCATGAACGTGCCGGTGAACACGTCCCGCTTCTCGACCTTGGCGACGTCGAAGAGGACGGGGAAGCTCTTGGCGTCGAGGAGCGCCACCACGCGGGGGTCGCGCGCCATGAATGGGCCAGGCGGGACGTTGATGCGGACGACGGTGGAGCCGTACCTCTCGGCGCGCGACTCGAAGTACTTGTCCTGCCCCTGCAAGTAGTAGAAATCGAGGCGGTCGCGCACCGCCGAGACGAACGGCACGCCGTAGCTACCGGGCACGGGCCGTCGTGGCAGTGGCACGCCTAGCTCCATGGCGCCTAGCTAACTCTCTTCTAGCTAGCTAATCGCGATAAGCTAGCTTTGTTTGGAACTAACTTCGTTAGCTAGCTTTGCTCCGAGTTGTTGTTCTTTGGATCGATCACCGTTCACGATGAACTCCCGAAACTTTGGACGCCTAACTACTCGGCGGCGGGGGTAGAAATAGCCCGTGCGCGCGCGTTGGAGAGAAATAACGAGGAACCGTTTTTCGTCGGCGCTTGTTCGGCGTTCTTTCTTGGAGAAAGAAATTGGACGTACGTCGACTAAGAGCACGTACAATTGAAAAAAATTAGCTGGAGCCTGGTGATAGTGTGTCCACGATGGCAAAAGTGATGAGGTGGCAGAGAAATGAGAGGGGAGACTGAATAGTCACCCACGACACACTCTCTCTAAGAGCAGGTACAATAGCAGGCTAATAGCCTGTAAACATATTTTAATGAGATAAAAGATGAGAGAGAAGAGCAGCAGGCTATAGATCTGTAACCAGCTGCAGCGCGGACTCTAAGACATAATATATGTATGACAGATGAGACCATATATTAATAGTATAGTAAGCAATTATTTTATTGGCTATTGATGAATTGGAGCTAGCAGTGGCCACTATTAAACTTGCTCTAAAACGTGAGAAGCAGCACCAGGGCAGCTGCTATTTGCCAACGTGATTGTGGGGTCCACATGAGGCGATTCGAGACCCAAAAGACCGCAGGACGGAGCGCTGAGACGAAAGCTAGCAGAGCTCGTTGCTGCTGATGGGAGCTGCGTCACTCGCGAAGACGGCCGGCCGGACGGCGGCCGAGATGGTGGCGTGTTTAAGCAGTGTTGTTGCCACCTCATCTGGGATGGGGAGCTGGAGCAGGAGAGGAGAACGTGTGGAATGATTGCTGTCTAGCTGAAATTATTTGGTGCATCCGTCCATGTAACTAAACAGTAAATAAGCACGCGTGTGCTGCTTGCATGGTTTTACCTAGTCTTTTTTCGCTTTACCTCCACACGTTCGCACGGCAAGTGGACAACATCGTCGTCCAAGGTACATGCGCGCGGGTGACTTGGTCGAAGGCTAGAATTCGAAGATTGTATTCCCTCGTTGTTTCCCTAGTATATCCAAATCCAAAGTTATTGTCGAGACGTCTAAAGCATGGATCCAACGTGTACTGACAGTTCCATCTGTCAACAGTTCATGTGTCAATCACTATGTAACAGTACTCCCTTCGGGTTGTTTGTTTGGAGGGGCTAATCATAAGTCCCTTCACTTTAGTCTATTTTAGCCCCTAAAATACTAAACAGGAGGGACTAAAAGAGGCTAAAATTACCTAGGTCCATAAATCTCTAGGGGAGGTGCTAATTTAGACTAAAGGCCTATAGCGCACCTACTATTGAATGGATGAAGCATGTAGGTGTTGGATGAAGTGCTAAAAGATAGGTCATTTAATGAGGTTTTAGTCCCTTTTAGTCCCTCCAAACAAACAGGGTATGACTAAAGATGACTTATGTTTTAGCCCTAGAACTAATTTTTAGCCCTAAGACTTATGGAAAGAAACATGGCCAAAATAGGGCAACTTCTAAATTCTACTTCCTTTCTTTACGTTGTTTTGAATTTTTTTCTAGTCAATATTTTTTTTAAGTCCAAACAAGTTTATAGAAAAAATTAGAAATATTTTCAACACAAAACAAACATATATATATATATATATATATATAGGACAAATTTACTATATAGGACACTCATATGGGGCACCATGGTATCTAATGTACAAAATCACTCAAATTTTTCAAAATTTTCAAATTGTGAGTATATACCTAGTTATAATAATTCGATTCATATCTATACCTATCAACAAAACAACTCAAATTTAACTTTATTTCACAATCCATGATTACATACCTAACTAATTATATGTATGGATGCTATATACCTAGAATCAAAATCTAACAAAAACAAGTTCAAATTCAGTACAAACATGCTTTGAACTAGTTAGTAAAGTAGTTAATGTTAATACCTAAGTAATTGAAAAAGTTTCATACTCATTTGAATTGGGTATATACTCAATTTCAACAATGGTGCCCGGGCACCATGGAGCACCAAACAAATTTACTATATATATATATATATATATATATATATATATATATAGGAAGCCTATATTCTACTCCCAGGAGTAGCTACTCCTATTGTAACCATCGGACACCTGTCCAACTCACATCAGGGTTTCGGGCTTCAACTCACTAACGGATTGTGAGAAAAGATCCATTAAACCAGTGATGCAGAAACTTGAATATTCTTTTTTTTTTGAAAATTCGGATCACTGCGCTATGTTCTGCATGGTGAGTCATTTTGAATGTTCTGCATGCATGGTTTGTTACCCGCACGCATGCACGACCGAGCGACCAGGAGAGTAGTTAGTGTGGAGGTTGCTGTATTGATACTCTATTTAAGTTGACGGTGATGGAGGACAGAAAATGAGGACCACAATTATCTTTCGGATTTGTGAGGAAGAAGATTTTGTTCTGCAGGTTTTTGATGGAGCAGAAACTCTCCGGTGGAAAGGGCAGAATGTCGTCGGCGAGGTCTGTTGCGTCGCCTTCCGCGGCGCGAGTAGGCGGAGGCTCGTCGGCGCCTGATGTCGAGCAGCAGAAGTCGGTGGCGGCCGTAGGCGTGTCGTCGCCGGTGAGTAGTAGCAAGCACCATCATATGGCGAAGGCAGAAGATGGAACCATTACAATTAATGGTGACAAGCAGCAGAATCCTGCCGCAGATAGGTACACATTGAAGTTTAGTTTTAGTTTATGTTCTGTTGAAATTTTTTCTCTTGTTTGTTTGTTTGGCTCTAACTGGTTATTGCGTTATTTGGTCATCAGGAATGGTTTTGTGCGTTGCATGGATACTGCTGCTCGGAGTGAAGTGATGAACCACTCTCTCCAGAAATATGTCATTCATTTCGATGGATGTCATCCTCTTCCCATGAGAAATCCTAGGAAGAGATGCGCTTGGTGCTCACTCCGTGATATTCGCGCGGCTTGCGACATGAATTTCAGAAGCAACGAAACAACCCGGGTCAACAGTAATGGTTGCAAACATGTGTCCAATGAAAATATGTAGACAATAGTGTGATGATCAGGAAAATTGTAATAAGGGCTTGCTTTCTGCACGGTCGTAGATTAGTCGTACGAACTGTCTCTAGTTTTGTATGGTATTTTCTATGAGGAAAAAGCGAGTAGTATCTAAGTTTAGAAATCTGTATCTTCTGCTGTTTGGGAAGTGAAATAAAATTGAGATGTTATCCTTTCATTTATCTATTTAAGTTGTGTGTACTGCAAACTCCCTGTTGTCATCGTGAATGCAATCCTTCACCAAGATGAAGTTCTTCGAGCAGAATATTGTACAAGAATGGAGCAGAGATTTCGAATTGGTTTCTGTGAGTGTAGCGTTGCGTACTCGGAATGTTTGTTATAGATGCTATTTTTGTGGCGGTATGGTTTCATCAGAATTCGTTAATGTTGCTAGTGGCTGACTTTCCGGAGTCCAATAACATGCTTCGCACGTAGGAGCCTTGATTTTCGGGGAGGTTGTTGAACAGCTAATGGAAAATAAACCGGAATTATTTGTCAGTATATATCCAACCAGCTGGAAAAAATGACGCCCTATAGCAAATTCTGTTTGCCGAAAGGGGTAGCTACCAGAATCCGTGCTGGACAGAAACAATATTCGCGAAGATAGCTATGGAGGAAGAAGGCTGGCCGGAGAAAGGTGGCGAGGATCATAGTGGACAACCCATGGACGTAGTTCCGTTGGAAAGGTATTTTTTATGTCAGTGTGATTGTAGTGTACAATTTCCCTTTCTGCATTGTTAGCTGAATTCTCATTTTTTTGATCCTAGGATCGTGGTTGAGGGGGAGGAAGATAGTGATCTGCTGCCTATTTCACTCTCTGACCCAGCCATTCTGTTGCCGAAAATTGGGCAGACCTTCAATGAGGACTCTGATGGCTATGCGTTCTACAATCTGTACGCTAGGTTCACTGGTTTTGGTATAAGGAGATCCAAGAACAGATACAAAGATGGAGGCGTGAAGTCCATGCAAGAGTTCTGCTGCATTCGCGAGGTAAAAATCTTTAGTGTATTCTTTTTTTTTTTTTGAAAACCATGGTTTCGTATTCTTGTAAGATTGGCAAGGTTCTATAGTGTGATGCGTAGGATCATCATTTCATAGGTTTTACGTAGTAAGGTGTTCCTGTAATTTATGCAGGGTAGAGATAATTCCGTCACTGGTCCGCCGACCAGGATAGGCTGCAAGGCTATGGTCAGGTTAAATCGTTCTTCTGAAAGTCAAAAGTGGAGAGTTTCTGCATTCGTTAGTGAGCACAACCATGAAATGAAACGGGACCTGCAGCATACTAAACACTTCCGGTCTCATAATTTCATTGATGAAGGGACAAAGAGGAACATAAAGGAAATGGTAGATAATGGGATGACACCTACAGCTATGTATGGATTACTTTCAGGTATGCACGGCGGGCCGTCCTTAACCCCCTTTACAAGGAGGGCTGTGACAAGAATGGCGTATGCCATCAGAAGGGATGAGTGTAGCAATGATGTGCAGAAGACACTGAATTTTTTTAGGGAAATGCAATGCCGCAGTAAGAATTTCTTTTACACCATACAGATTGATGGTGCTTCAAGGATTAAAAATATATTTTGGTGTCATTCTCTTTCCAGATTAAGTTTTGACCATTTTGGGGATGCAATCACTTTTGATACTACATATCAGACTAATAGGTATAACATGCCATTTGGGATTTTTGTCGATGTAAATAACCATTTTCAAACAGCAATTTTTGGTTGCGCTTTGTTGAGGGAGGAGACAATCGAAGCATTCAAGTGGCTTTTCCAAACATTTACTGATGCAATGCATGGGAATAGGCCTGCAGCAATTTTAACAGGTATATGTTTATTTGGATGGATCAGTGGTGTGTTTAATGATATGTCTTCTGTTTTTAATCTCGAATGGTTGTGAACTTCTTTTTTAGATAACTGTCATCAAATGGAGGTGGCGATCAAAGCGGTTTGGCCTGAAACTATTCATAGAGTTTGCAAATGGCATGTTCTGAAGAATGCTAAGGAGAACTTGGGGAACATTTACAGTAAAAGAAGCAGTTTCAAACAGGAGTTCCACCGGGTGTTAAATGAACCCCAAACAGAGGCAGAGTTTGACAAGGCATGGTCAGATTTAATGGAGCAGTACAATCTCGAGTCTA